AGTGAAGCATCGGTGTTGAACACTGATGTCATGCTGTCGATGATCATCACTAGGTTAATTTGATTGAAGGATGAGCGGCGCGTGTTAAGCACACTACTGGCCAGCCGCTCGTACCACCGTTCAGCCGTAACACCCTTTCGGTGCCTAGCTGCCATGCCACCCGAAGGCTGCATGAGGTTTGGGATACTGCACGGTTGCCCAAACCTAGACAGGGGAAGTCGAAAGTCAGAGGTCAGGTTCGAACCACGGACCTTCCGGTCAGTAAATTCGCGCTCTATCCACTTGGGTCGCTCATAGCCAAACGGTTAACTGTTCGAACTACTAGCCAGGCGGTCGCGGGTTCGAGAATCTACGGAGTTTCATGAGGTGTGCACTGGTGATGATTCCCAATAAAGATGAGACAGCTGTACAGTGCTTCTCGGCTTTTCAGCATAGATTACCTACATTTACAGGACGAAATCTCCACAAAGATTAATTTTTGACTGCCAGCGTGAACTTGTTACTTGACTTCTCATCAACTTAAGTTAGGTTATGAAACATCTACGTGCTTTTGAAGAAGCAGGATCAATGCACAACTTCAGGTGACATCTAACTTAACTTGTTCGGGTTGTGGGAAATTCATTCACTTTTGCGATCGCCAACGAATGCGCGCGTGACGCGAGTTTACCACGAACATAAGGTTCATCGAATCATGCCACTGACCGAGTCAAAGGTTTGCAAGTGTTGCCCATTCCACCGTGCATCTCGTGTTGTGCATGCATCGATGTGACGACATTGATTGTCTTCCACGCACTCTAATATAAAGATAGCACTTTATAAATAAAATTGATCGCTTTAGCAAAGTCTTCTTTTTGTGTTTGACGGGTCACCGAATTAACTATGGAAATTCTGAGCCGGAAACATCGCATCGCGCTCGCAAGTGTTGGGACAGTGGTAACCCGAATTCGACAACCGACGCATTTTATCAACAGAAGGGTCAACCGACAGTGTTGATCTTTCCAGTTTCCGTCAGGTCAAAGTGAACGCAATAACGAGTTTGTAGGGCGACCATCTGGATGCTTTTCAAAACTCTTATTTACTCTGTGCGGATTTGTGTGAGGAGAAGAAATAATGCCATCGTTACGAATGTCTTTTCAAAATAAAGCCGCGTGCCCTAAGGGCCCACAAATCGCCTCTTTAGACAAACCGATCAACTGCATACACAGTAGCAGTAGTTATTCGCATGGTAACTCACATGTAATTGTGCGATCAACTGCAGACAATTTGCGCGAATCATTTGGAATTTGACCGGATCGCTGGAATTCACCAGAGCCAATGGAAGGCGACCCTTGTGGAGAAAATAGACAGCTGGTATTTTTAGGCGTCATATGACACAGTAATCATAGTAATGAAGTAAAACGCCATTGTTGAACAACGATGCAAAAGTAAAGAGAGCAATCAGCATTCGGCCATTAAGAAATCATAATCAAACAACACTTGTGAAGTGACAAAAAGAACGGCACCAAGACCTTTGAAAACGGTGGTTGAATAACATAGGTGATGCTATCCGGAACGCTTTCCTCACATTTAAATCCATCCACTTCCTGAAACGGACAATGTGGTCGGTGACATGAGGACAATTGTGATTCAGTCACGGGAAGGCGGGAAATTAATCCACAAAGGTCGTACGAGAACCATGAAGGGATTTGGGAGAGGCGGTCATCTTATGCTCAGTGCAAGTAGCTAATTTTAGGCTGGACATACTTTTACGCCATCTCTCATTTTACAATAAGAGTTCTGTTGAAAAACTGTCTACAAAGTACCTACAGTCAAAAAGTATGGCAGTGATCTGCCAACAAAGATGACTGGCATCATAATGATCTGTGAAAATCTTTTATCCAAGACGTCAGCAAGCACGTGTATGGTGACTCCATATTAGAGCGCACTCGCCCAGGATGTCTGACGGTGACTGCACTTGTATTAAAGAGCCACTGTTTTGTAACTGGACAGGCGAATATCCGAATTCCAAGTTTATCACTCTTGGGTGGGACGCTTCTATGGCCACCCAATTTACGAAATGGCGCAGTACATTGGAAAAACCACAACTAGGATTTCATGAACGAATTGCACTGCACACGGATACATGGGCATCAGGCTGAGCTGGACAGTTTCATTTCTAGAGCGTCACGCGCCTGACCAAAAAACCAATCCACGAATGGTGCGAAATAACTCGGTGAGAGAGGACTTGTGATATTTAGGAGTTCACCCATATCCATAGCTTCACGCAAGCATATTCTGCATGGTGATGAACCCCACACGGCTCCACACTGGGCCCTGAAGATTTACCTTCTTGTAATGTGGTCCTGTCTACATTCTGATTGGTCTGTGGGTGCCCATGTATTGGTCTTTAGTGGAAACTAATGTGAACAAACAAGGACCTGCGATTTAGGGTATGGTCTTAAAATCCGCTCTCCGGTTGCATACTAAAACAAGCGTACTCACAGAAGTAATAACTTACCCTCGAATTTTGGGGTATTGGTATTCCCAGCAAAGCGGCCATTAATGGGCATAAATCAACTTGTTGAATTTCGCTCATTCGACGTCCTTCAATCTGCACCGGAAAACCGTATGAATCAGTCTGCGTAAGTAGGTGCTTTTCGGAAGAACTTTCAGATAGTTTTGGACCCACTAGTCCGGCGCCCCAAACCAAAAGCGGTGTGATTGTTTCTTGCAGAGAATCACCTCCATGACCATCTATCAGGAGTTCAATAAAATATAAAAATCGTCCAGCTGTAACATCATTTCAGCGCATAGGCACCATGCTACCCGAATGAAGCACGATGGCAGGGATACTGCCAGGTTTCCCCAAGCCTAGAAGGGGAAGTTGAGATGCGGAGGTCGGGTTCGAACCACGGCTCAGTAAATACGCGCACTAACCACTGAACCATCTCCCTCCGCATATGTTTAAAAATGAATATCACCATGACGAAGAGATTGAGAAATGTTGAACACAAATAATAATTTTGAAAGCCAAAGACCGACAGGGATATGCATATAATGACCCACTTAATACAAGGCATTTATATCATGGCATGAGAGAGATCATATGCTGTGTGAAAGATGAGGAAGCACAAATCAGCGGTGAGGAACTGGACACAAAAACGAATCTAGGCCAACTTTTGGAAGTGTGATCAATCCAACTTCGGTCTCCGTGGCTGCGTATGTAACACTGAAGGTTTGTCACAACCGGCCGGCCTAAAATCACAAGCATGATTCTCAGGGAGGGTATGGACACCTAGTGCAGCACTTTTTCAGTCAAAAGACGTTCACTGTAATGTCCTCATCATCATTCGGACTAAGCGGTTGTGCAGGTCCGTGTTATAAAGAGATGCATATTTAGTTGAACTCTAGCTATGTGGGTAATCTATGCAACACAATACGTCACCTTGTTTCATCCAACAACCATTAAAAATTGTGAACTGCATCTTCGGTTCATTATAATCAATAATATTACCTCATATTAGTCATTACTGTCACTTACTGTTAACATCAATAAGGTCAAGGTTAATATTCAAAACTTGTTGAAACATCAGACTCAGACGAACCAGGTACGAGCAACCGTCCAGCTGATTTGACCTTGAAGACGTGAGCAGCAAGAAATCAGAAGGAACGTTGCGGTAGCCCGATTATTCACAAAAAACACTTGAGAAGCAAGTTCAACAGATCAGAAACGCACAGAGCAACTCCTCTTTAGGAAGGTTTACTTTATTCATTTCATAAGTTCAAAAAGGGGTAGGAAAGTGTGCTAAGGAAGTACTTTGACAGACGAACAACATTCACGTTCGACTAACCCATCGGATCTATAGATTCATTTCTACAAAAATGTCACTGTAATGTACGCGCACTCATTCGATCTTACGCGTCGGAAGGGCCTGCACAAAAAGTGGTCTACTACTCACACAGATGCAGTACACTACTCGTAAGGTTGCTGAAAATTCTTCGACAGTCTACGACCGTTTTTGCCCTTCTTGGGGCTTATCAGGTCGGCGCAGTCCTCGAGTCTCCGTTCTACTTGAACCCAAGTTGTACGAAATACACTCATTTGCATAACCAAGTTACTTGGACGGGAAACTCACTGGAGCATAGCTGAATTTCTTGTCTATGATGTTCAAGGTGTCTACTACTCTGCCACGGTAGGTGTGCTGGATGCCACACTACACAGTGATGACACACGTCGTATGGACTATGGTACAATCCAGTAGTGGACTGAAGCGTTACGGTCAGTAGGGAGGCTGTTATTACGCCACGAGGAACACAGTTGATATGATCATATCAAATTTTACGACAAAAACTAAGCACAGTTTCGGGTGACAGAAAAAAAAGAACAAGACTTAAACGTTACACACACACACACACCTGAGTCAGTCATCCCATGGTCGGCAGTGAGCACGAAAGCCACTCGCACATTCAGTCCTTCAGAGACCCGCTTCAATGTGCGAATTATTTTGGACAGAAAGCCATCAAACTGACGCAGCAAGGAGCGGTACTGTGGAGATCTGGAGATTGGGGATTCACGGTTGGCGGCGTGTCCTATTGCGTCAGAAGCATCCAAATGAATGAATGCCAAACGAGCGCTTTGTGAGACAGACGAATCTTCCTCGGTGACTTGGGATTTAGCGAAGAAACCATTTTCCATGTTGTCAAGGGTGGCCTAAGCAACGAGAGCGTGAATATCAAGAGTTTTCTGAGTAGCAATTGAACAGGTTTAAAATGGTGTTTTGGCGGTACTCGAATTCTATTGTGTTCGTTATCCCTGGTTGAACAGTTCTAAGGCACTTCGGCGTTATAAAAAAGGAACTTGGAACTCATGATTGTGAATCCCACTACAGAAGGATTTTTACACAACTAAGTAATTCTCCAGGAAACCCCTTTCCAGAGAGGACATTCCTCCTGAGAGTCCACAAAAGTTTCCATCCAAACAGGACCTCGAGTCCAGTTTTCTCAAAGGATACAAGTTCCACGAAGGTCCAAGCAACCGCTTATCTTTTGACGACCTTCCCCGTACAATACCACGGTGGGTACAACAAGCAAAGATTCCAGATACTACAGATGGCCTGATATGAATAATGGAAGGATTTATGCAAAGTTGGTAATTTTGAACCAAAGAATCAACTGGATACGAAAGAGAGACAAGAACGCCAAACGATCCCATTCGAGATGTGCACTGGTCAAAACCCCAAACGACCAATCGCGTCACAGACACCAAATGTCCATCGGAAACTATATAAAAGCACGAAAAATTAGAGGAAACACCCACCCACAAGATGTTTGCAAGTCAATGGTCGATAACAGTGAACCAACAACCATTAACCCAAGGGGGCAAACTTTATTTATATGATTCTGTCTAATGAGTAGTACCTTGGAAACCAACCAGATATTTTGCATGCACTTCTTGTTTACAGTCCTATATGAATTGTTGTTGCACATATCATCCAATCGGCTTCCTTAGACAGTACAGTGAGACTCCGCAGTCCGCGCAAAAAAGAGGAAGCTAGAAACAGGGCCAAACTCCAGAATAGTTCACAGCGAGCATTCCAAGTCAAATTTCTTTGCAGAGGTCACCATCCAGCCTCCCAGAGACACTAAGACAGAAGGGTGATTTTGCTTCCTAGGAAGGACTCCGACCAGCCATAAAACAGCCATATATCTCAAGGGCTACACGGAAGTTTCATATGATACAACTTAACGGGCTCAATCGAGTTTGTACATGACGATATAGCTCCGTGGTTAAGGCATGAACTTACTGACTCGAAGGTTTGAGATCTAAACCCAACCTCAGCATCTTGAATACTCCTTGCTATGCTTGGGCAACTCGCTAATTTCTCAGCCCTCGTGATTCCTTCTGGTGGTAGGATAGCTAGGCACCGAATGGGTGTTACAGCTGAACTGTTTTTATATCATGACATCCAGATGCGAAATTCAAAACCATAATCAACTGAACTTCCTTCATCCTCTGACATCATTCATCATGTATCTGGAAATGGCTTCAATAAAGCGATGCATCACTAATTATGGTAAGGCAGGTTGAATGTCATCTAACCCGTCTAATTGTCAGGGCTATTTTAGAGATATGACCTGGTATGCGCCATTGCCAAATGAGAGACGAGCACTGGGCCAGTGCAGCTGGAGGGGCTGGACGAATCCCTTCCGTGTACAATTACCGGGTGTGAGAAATCAGAAGCCGGGATTAAAGTGGAAGTTTTGGTGCACCCACCGTTTGTCACTGTACACTTGAAGTGCACAAAAGTTGTCACACTTAAATAAGTTGCAAAATACATAGAGTCTAACCAATGACATCAGCCTCTCCAGCGTCAGCATAGGACCAACTAGCGTTCCGTGCGAAACTGACTGTGTGCGTAATAAACTAACGAATTCCCGGAATTCTTGATAATTTCATCCGGCCACAATAATTATGGCGTTGGAAACTGTAATCCTATACTCACGGCAATAAACGTAACATTTACGACACAAAGTATGTGAAACTGGAAATCCCCATCTGGCTGACCGGCCAGGCTAAAGGTCACGCGGCCCAGTGGTAAAGTAAAACGAAAACAGCTTATCAAGTACCCTACCAAACTGGACACCCAGAAATGAAGCCCTCCTTCACAAATCTACGACAGTTCATCAGCAGTCAAAACATTTTTCCCATAAAAACGGTTGGCAGAGTAATTTTGCGCTGGAATCGCTGCGCATGCTAATCAGTCATTCGGTATTTTGAAGTCAGAAGACTAGTTTCGTGTTGAGCGTCTCCTAATTCAAAATGCTTGCTGCGTGAAATAGAGTGAAATCGTTCTCTCAAAAGAGTATTCCCCTTGAGGAAAGAGTCACTGTTTGTGGCTGAGACACTGATTTATCGTCCTCAACCCTGTGTGATAAGAGCAAGCATGCGCAATGTATGGTTCACAAGGCATTAGATTTCCGCTGGCAGAAAGCAGTAGAAACGGTTTTAAGTTTATATGCGTATCTGTTCACCACTTTTTTCACACTCACGCAAAGAACTCCAGCCATATCGAAGTCAACGCGTAAAGTTTCTGGTCTGTCACATACGAAAACTTCCGTTAAAACAACACCTAGTGTGTCCAGCAGTGCGTAAAAGGTTCAAAAGGTTAACACTTGTGGCGCGATGTCAAAGCACTATTACCAGCTTACCATGTATCGACAGCATCCTGACCCACTAAACTATGGTGGATGTGACAAAATGTAGGCAACGAGTATAGTTTAAGTGGGCCATATCTTCAAAGGCCGTTGTTTCTGTGTATAATGACTGCTGATCAGGCTGGTGGAAGATTGATAAGATTCAAAAGGTTAACACCTGTGGCGCGATGTCAAAGCACTATTATCAGCTTACCATGTATCGACAGCATGCTGACCCACTAAACTATGATGATGTGACAAAATGTAGGCGACGAGTATAGTTTAAGTGGGCCATATCTTNCTAGGCACCTAATGGGTGTTACAACTGAACTGTTTTTATATCATGAAATCCAGATGCGACATTGAAAACCAGAAAGTTCATGTTGCCAGTGGATCACTGTGATGACCATAATTCAACTGAACTTCCTTCATCCCTCTGACGTCATTCATCATGTGTCTGGAAATGGCTCCAATAAAGTGATGCATCACTAATTATGGTAAGGCAGGTTGAATGTCATCTAACCCGGCTAATTGTCGGGGCTATTTTAGAGATATGACCTGGTATGCGCCATTGCCAAATGAGAGACGAGCACTGGGCCAGTGCAGCTGGAGGGGCTGGACGAATCCCTTCCGTGTACAATTACCGGGTGTGAGAAATCAGAAGCCGGGATTAAAGTGGAAGTTTTGGTGCACCCACCGTTTGTCACTGTACACTTGAAGTGCACAAAAGTTGTCACACTTAAATAAGTTGAGTTGCAAAAAGAGTCTAACCAATGACATCAGCCTCTCCAGCGTCAGCATAGGACCAACTAGCGTTCCGTGCGAAACTGACTGTGTGCGTAATAAACTAACGAATTCCCGGAATTCTTGATAATTTCATCCGGCCACAATAATTATGGTGTTGGAAACTGTAATCCTATACTCACGGCAATAAACGTAACCTTTACGACACAAAGTATGTGAAACTGGAAATCGCCATCTGGCTGACCGGCCAGGCTAAAGGTCACGCGGCCCAGTGATAAAGTAAAACGAAAACAGCTTATCAAGTACCCTACCAAATTGGATACACAGAAATGTAGCCCTACTTCACAAATCTACTCACGACAATTCATCAGCAGTCAAAAAATTTTCCCATAAAAACGGTTGGCACAGTAATTTTGCGCTGGAATCGCTGCGCACGCTAGTCAGTCATTCGGTATTTTGAAGTCAGAAGACTAGTTTCGTGTTGAGCGTTTCCTGCTTCAAAATGCTTGCTGCATGAAATAGAGTGAAACCGTTCTCTCAAAAGAGTATTCCCCTTGAAGAAAGAGTCACTGTTTGTGGCTGAGACACTGATCTAGCGTCCTCAACCCTGTGTGATAAGAGCAAGCATGCGCAATGTATGGTTCACAAGGCATTAGATTTCCGCTGGCAGAAAGCAGTAGAAACGGTTTTAAGTTTATATGCGTATCTGTTCACCACTTTTTTCACACTCACGCAAAGAACTCCAGCCATATCGAAGTCAACGCGTAAAGTTTCTGGTCTGTCACATACGAAAACTTCCGTTAAAACAACACCTAGTGTGTCCAGCAGTGCGTAAAAGATTCAAAAGGTTAACACCTGTGGCGCGATGTCAAAGCACTATTATCAGCTTACCATGTATCGACAGCATGCTGACCCACTAAACTATGATGATGTGACAAAATGTAGGCGACGAGTATAGTTTAAGTGGGCCATATCTTCAAAGGCCGTTGTTTCTGTGTATAATGACTGCTGATCAGGCTGGTGGAAGATTGATAAGTTGGAGACACCTGCAGTGATTGATCAAATCAAGTCAAACACAATTCAGGTTGAAAAATCAAACAGTGAGTTGAACACCGAACGATTCCCCATAACCAGTTCTCTTTCGTTGCACTATTTGGCATATATGAAACGCGGACTGTACCTTTTGATATACCATAGTGGGTATGATAGGAAGCCAAGGGACCAATAGAGTAGCACTACCGTTCAGCAAGACTCAACAGTTGGTGAAACTGTTATTTACTAAATTTCCACTGGATTAGCCTTGACGGAACACAAGGAATCGCCGTCAACTTTACATACAGCTCACTGTTACGTGACCCAAAAGCTGCCTTCCGGTAGATCGAAGAATATTTGATTTCCAAAAAACACAGACATGTCCTCAGAGTCATTGGCTGCATCACGTTCCACTGAACTGCGTGAGCTTTAGTGAACAAAAAACAAATAAGGGAACCGATTTAGTGGCTCTTTGCGTATGTGGTTCCAACAAACTGTGGAACATAAACATTATCCAGCTGTATCACCATTTCGGTGCCTAGCTGCAATGTCAGCCGAAGGAAGTACGAGGGCTGAGATAATGCCATGTTATCCAAGCCTAGACAGGGGAAGTCGAGAAATTAGAGTCAGGTTCGAATCACGGAACTTCTGGTCAGTAAGTTGGAGCGTTAACCACTGAGTTATCTTGAGCTCCAATTCAACCAACTGTAGCCATCAGCATTACAGCCAAGCAACTGTCCGTCCACTAGCTCCATTAAATCGTTCATTTTTCAAAGGACGATGTGTTAGCAGCCTAAGGACTGGAGGTCACAGAGACGTGGGATTTTATCTTGGGAAATTCAACAACGATGCCACAACTCCATTTGAAGAAAACACGTATCCATAAACATGAGTAAGCAAGAGGAATTCCCAAGCATTTTAATTCTATTTCTGAGACCGCGAACAAGGCTATGTACCGCTTTTGCGTCATGTTGTCACTAATAGTAAAACCTGAAACCTTGTGTTTTGTTTTGCACAGGATAGGTAGCCGACTGCTCAAATGTGGCATCTTCTGGGCGCGCAGCTGCCGTGGGGGACTACGAGAGCTGATATGGCGCCTAGTTACTCAGGCCGGTATACGATGCAAGGAAAAGCCAGGGTTGGGTTCGAACCTTCAGGTCAGTAACTCCGCACCCTAAACATGAAGCTATCTGGAGCTCACAAAGCAAAAGCCACTCTGCTACATTAGATTTCTATCAGGGGACGATTTGGAAGTAGAAGAGCAGAGATTCTCAGGAGAGAGCACGGGAACATACAACGCTCTGGTAACAAATCTAGTAGTATACCTCTCGGCCACGAGTGGCTGATCATCGACGCGAGAAACTACTATCTGGACAAGATTCCTCAGTCACGCAGTTTAAGTAACGCGGGTTGATACCAGCAGAACCCTGAGTGGAATCTCCTTAGGAGGAAACCAACCTGTCTGTAGTGTGTCTACCTGTATCTGTTGATTGACCATTCGCTGTGAGTACCTGGGTGGATCTAGGGCTCGAACATAGCCACACCCTGATCAGGTACAAGTTTACGACAATGCCGATCGATCGCATTCGGTGGTATTTTGTGAATTGAGTATCCCTCAACATTATTGAGATGTGCGGCGATGGTGGATTTCAACAAGGTACAATGCCTGTCAGCTTTCATGGCGGCCTGCCTTTACTCGTAAAGTCCAGAATAGCAACATCAAAAGTCTCGTCAATACTTTTAAAGCAGAGAAAAACGATAAAGTTTTCAGTTCAATTTATGCAACTAGGCGTGAACATTTTCAACAGCTAGTTAATGCTTTAGGACCTCAGAGGTGGATCCTATTCTCTTTTGGAATTGCGTGCACAGGAATGGATGGTCAAAATCACCTACCAGGAAACGACCAACAGACCATTCGTCAGCACTCATTGAGGAAATTCCTCTGGGAGGTGCGTTTGCGTTCACCTGAGGTAAATTGCCCAAGTTCACCGCGTTTAGAACCGAGGAAACTCCCCACGCCCAAGCTTTGCCGGAATGATTGAACACGGTGTCGAATTCCACCGGATTTGTTTTCCAACCTTGTTAGAACAGGGAAAAGAAAAACATCACAGGAGCTCAAATTTCAAAATTCCGAACACGATTTACGCAGAACTCACAGATTTGGTCGTACTGGTCTTCTCTTACGCTACATCGGTTCCATATCTACCTATCTACCCAGTCTCCGTATACTCGTTGTGCTATTCTGAATTTTAAACAGAAAACAACTGTTTTCAGCATCTTTCGGACGCTTCTAATGTTAGTTGAGGTCATAGTTGAACTCACGCAAACAGAAGCTGCCAGGGATCAACAGCCAGACAAACGTTTCAATGGAGACTTCGTACTGTAGTCGGAAAAACTAGTCAACAAGCCACGGATTTGAGAATCCATGAAGTTTCGTGAGATGCGTCCTGTTTATGATTCTCAATAGGGACGAAACAGCTGTACAGTGCTTCTCGGCCTTTCGGCATAAATTGGCTTCACTTACCGGATGAAATCTTCATTCCCAGATATCCTCACACTACAAACAAGCCAGTCAAACTGCTTGTCTCGGAGAATTCGACAACACTGAAAGCTAAATAGGTCTGAATTTGGAAAGGACATCGGCTTAAGCCGAAAACAAGCATAAGTGGTACAGACTTATCGAGCGTTTAATCGGATCCGTGGTAACAAGTTTGCAGAGCTGTACATGAATCGATCAATTATGGGGCCAAAAGTTGAATGATAGAGTAGGTTCACTAAGATCTCTTGGTCATTCCAATTCTGGACTTGGGCACCGCAAGTACTATCCTCACCTTTATTCCCAGTGAATCGGCAAATGCAACTGTGAACGTGCTTGTGGGTGTTACGAGTTTCCATAACTTATGAGCTTCGAACATGTTCTCATTTAGCTATCATGTACATGAGTGAGGATAATTTTGGAGCAGACATTATGTAGATAGTTGTGAGGCACCAAACTATTCGTTTCCACTAACAGTGACTTCAGGAAAAGAAATGGAAGAATTTGTGCATTCGCAGTGAGGACTCAAACTAGAGACCCTGCTGCAGTTACTCTGTGGTTGCTGCACTTTGGCTAACTGGGCGGTCTCTAACGTCCCTTAAGTACAGTGTATTTCATTCGGCGTTTCGGACACAAACTGCCTGCACTAATGTGAGTGATACCTCAAGTACTAATAACGTTAATAATAGAAATAATCGTTCAGCTGTGAAATCCTTTTGAGGCCCAGCTAATAAAGGGAGCAAGAGGATTATTGCATCCACACCTAGACAGGATCAATCAAGAAACTGAGGCTGTGGCCGAAGCACGGACGTACCGGTCGGTAATTTCGCACATTAACCGCTCTCGAGGTTAGTAAAGGCTAAGTGGTTTACAAGTAACTAGGAATCACCCGACAAGCATGGTCGATAAGATGCAAATTTACCGAAGATGCCCCCCCCCCCACAATAGACCTAACGTTGGCTAGCTGGATTTTACTCCAAACACAAAAACAATTATAGCATACAGATACGGAAAATAATAATAAAAATAAAAATAATAATAATAAGGGGAATCACTTAGGCCTGAAAAAACGACGATGAAGTAGAGTCTATTCAATACTTCAGGATTAGTTTCACCCACAGACTGAACAACATAAGCCAATCCGTCCACATTAGTTATCGTTTTTTAATTTTCCAGTCAAAGATAAAAGGGAGAAGTTCTGATGAACGAAACTACTTACCAACTTGGTTTTAACGAAAGACTCAGCTGAAACCCGGCTGAATCTCTCGTTTATGATAAACCCCAACTGAATATGATGCATAAAGACGGCCCTAAGTTTATGTTGGTAAGATATTCAAGATATGGCAAAGTTTGTGAAAGCTTTTGGACAGCCAACGAGTCCTATCGCCCTAAGAGGGGCGAAAGGAGACCTGGCCTGTTCGAGCAGCGGAACTAAGACGCCTCCAGGTGTTCGACAATCGTTGTCTCAGAACCATGGCTCGTTTGGATTGATGTCGGTGTATCCGCAACGAGGCAATTAGAAAGTGAGTTTCTGGTTGTGCAATGAGTACTTCCACTGAAGAATGTGTCCAGCACCAGAAGCTGCGTTGGTTGGGACATGTGTTACGCACGCCTAGCCATCGTTTGCCCAAAAAGAGTGCTATTTTCCATGCCCAATTCAGAGTGGCGTAAGCAGAGAGGCGGCCACCCCATGACTTGGCAGACAGTGATCCCTACTGCGCCTGGCTGGAGACACTACAAACTATGGCTGCCAACCGATATCAGTAGCGTTCTTGGTGTTAGTTTCTATCCAGATTGCCTGAGTGGATGTTTGGAGGTGTAGGCACCTCGGGATGATTGTCGTAAGCTAGCACTAAGTCCCTTCTCCTTCTACCTTTATTTTTTCTTTACAATAAGATTCTCAAATAAATCACGGTTGACGGCAGTGAAGCATCGGTGTTGAACACTGATGTCATGCTGTCACAGGTGATGATGATGATGATGGCTAAGGCAAGCCATGAAGTAGACCACTTTTCACGTGTCACGGGCCTCTGGCAACCCCGAACGAACTAAAGTATGGGACGCGAGCCAACCAACATACGGTTTCTAAATTGTCAGAGGCCTGCTTAACCTTATAAATCTAGCTGAACAATCAAACATGAAAGTACAAGGTTGCAATTCGTTGAGTATTGAACGTGACCTCACACTTGCAATGAAAAATTTTCAAACCTCTCCTTTACAGTATTACTTCTCTGGTGCTGCTCATCACATAAAGGCTGTCTGTCGTAGCGTTTTCATTGATTCTAATGAACGACTCACCACGTGCTGGTGCACATCTAATTTTTTGTTCAAGGTTTACGGCAAGATAATCGTTTCTCGACTGCAAAGTATGCTACTGAAGAAGCGATCTAATTCAGTGAGAAAATCGACTCCAAGATTATCTTCGGGCATGAATGTGCAAGTGTGAACAAAAAGTAAGATGGTTTAGTAATGTGCTACTCATAAGGTTGCTGAAAATCCATCGACAGCCCACGACCGGTTTCGCCCTTCTTGGGGCTCATCAGGTAGGCGCAGTCCCCGGGTTTCCGTCAACCTTATGTTCTACTTGAAACCAAATTGCACGAAATTAGCGAATATACACTCATCTGCAAACTAATTTGGTTCTTTCGACAGACTCACCTGGAACCCAGCTGAATCTCTCGTTTATGATGTTCTCAGGCATGATACCCTATTTGTAAGGTTACTGAAAATTCTTCGACAATTCACGACCGATTTCGTCCTTCTTGAAAACATCATAAACCAGAGATTCAGCTGGGTTCCAGGTGAGTCTCTCGAAAGAACCAAATTAGTTTGCAGATGAGTGTATATTCGCTAAGATGGTTTAGATTTGGAAGAGGAACCCATACGAAGTGAACAGTACACACAGCTCAATGGACAACCAAGGAGTTCGCTCCGAAGCAACGAGCGTAACTTATGGCAATGACCCGGTAACTTTAGTACGAATCGTACCAAATTTATATTCGGAAGATTGGTTAAAGAGCTTCCGAATTTTTAGCAATCTTTAGCTATTCTGTACCTCCCCGTCAGATGAAAGTTCACATCTGAGGAAAGGAAAAATTTCACTTTCTTAAGATGTATTGTATTCGCGAAGATCTCTACAGGATTGAGACGAAGAGAACGATAAGAATAGTGTTGTGATTACCCTGACTAGTTTAGCTTCTGTTTGCGAGCCTCGAGTAAAGTCTTCAAGCGTGGTTTATAATCATCCCTTGGAATAAACAAAAGTCCAAACAATAATTGGGAACTTGAAAAAACCTTCCAAACACCTTAACCCCTGAACAGGAGTTTGAACAAACCTGTGGCGAGTGCTGATGGGTCCTCGTAAAACCCGGCGAAGAGAGCAACATGACCCGGTCTTGATTCGGTTGGAGCACGAGTGTGCGATAAGCCCCAAGCACCTTGATGGAGCAAGATGTCTCTGAGGTTGGGGAGAAAGAGATTGAAATGTGTCAGTCGGTTAGATGCTTGCGTTTGTTCCGCACAGTATCATAGAAATGCAGCGAGTAGAATTGTATCTCAACAGTTTGACTTCAGAAACGGTCCAAGCGCTGACCAGGCATGGACGAGTCAGTCGTATTCTGAGGACTTGTTACTTCATTCTTCCCCTTCAGAGACACGTGTCAGCTTTTTAAGCAAGCAGTGTGACTCGAATGTATAATTCAGTGAGAACACTAAAGACAAAATGTTCTAAATTTACCTGGACCATAGGAAATTAAGGAATATCCTACCAACTGAAATATCAGGCAGTCTTTGTGTAGCACATTCAGTTGAAGATAATAAGCAGAAGCACCCAAAAGATGAATATCATAAGCGAAAGATCCACTAGAGTCTTTCGTGAAAACCCAGTCGATATGCAAACGAGTGTATTTGTTACAATAAGCTGTTCGTTTGAGAGTGGCGTAAACAGAGAGGTGACCAACCCTTGACTTGGCAGAGGAGTATGAGGGATATCACGAAACACTTGGGTGCTGTCGGTGCTACTCGCCTTACAGGGTGGGGACCGCGTGATCCTCACTGTGACTGGTTGGAGACACTACGAAATATGGCTGCCAACCGATGTCAGTGGTGTTCTTGTTGTCAGTTTCTATCCAGATTGCCTGAGTCAATGTCTGGAGGTATAGGCCCACAGAATGATTGCGGTAGGCTAGCACTAAGTCCGTTCCCGGTCCACCTTTATTCTTTTCTGTACAATTGGGCTTTAAATAAATCCTTGTTGTGCGGCAGTGAAAAATCGGTGTTGAACACTGATGTCCTGCTGTCGATGATGATGATAATGATGTTCGTTTCGTTTTTATCCTGGAATCAGACTTAGTTGTGCAGTTCACCTGAACTGAGGAAGAATGGCTAAAGGATGTTAGCACATGTTTATCCTGGAGAAATACTGTGCCGTGTTGAGACACAAGCCCTCACCACCTCCAAAGGATTCCGGATCACAGTGCTTGGTACCAGATAGGAGTCAAATGCGAGAAATCTGAAAAACCGATGTACCCAACTGTGGCCTGTAGAACAACTTCAGGATACTACACACACGGTAAAAAAAATTATATGAAGTCCACCAACAAATGCCCACCAGGTAACAATAGTTGCATAGCACATAAGTTGTCTTCGTGACGATCTCACAAAGAGAACAGCGATCATTACAGAAACACACGATCGAGCGCAACATTCATCGAATAATTCGGCCATGACTAGGTATGCCATACTTAACGAGCATAGTTCCACCAAAACGGTGTGCAATTTGGTGTTCAATTTGAACCCGAGGTTGATGGAAACTCGGTGACTACGTCTACCTGGTGAGCACAAAGAAGGACAAGACCGATCATAAACCATCGCAGCGTTTATAGCGACCTTATAGGTGGCGTATCAATTCGGGGAAATACACTCATATTTCGAATATCGTGCCAACGGAAGCGTGAGGCGGACTCTGTGCAGCACATTCAGTTGAAGAACATGATAAACGAGAAATTCTGTCGAGTCCCTCATCAACATCAAATTAATTCGAAGATGAGCATATTTCGCCAGTTGGTTGTGATAAATGTAAAATGAGACAGATCAGGTAAACAGAAGTAAAAATAATTTATCTGGTGGATGACGTCTTCGAATTTGGAATTTTATGTCTTCCTAAACCATTGAAATCCCCCGGTAGATAATTGCCAATTCAAACTGTTCGAAAATACACAGATACTTGGTAGGCCCCGAAATGGAAACGCCAAATCGCATGAAAAATGTCCATCTCTATTGGTCATTTCACTTGGGATGGATCAATTGAGATTACTCATTCAGAGTTCTACCAGTTCATCACCCTTTTGGCAATTTACCTTCCCTCTGACACATTAGTCGTAATAAATCGAGTTTGGTGAGTTCATACTGCAAATTGCGTACGCATCCAACGTAATAATGAGTCAGTCATCAGTAGACCAACTTTCATCCACTTGACTGGTGAGGAGCCCGAAAGTCTACGAAAAACAAAGCGTTTCTTATGGCGCATTGTGCACTACGTCAAAACCGATCAAAACTTAGGGCCTATGAACGCATGACAACGCGACCAACTATGCCTGATTTGGATGGTGTGTTCAACGCTTTAGCAACGAAATTTGTAACCAGTGAGACGTGACATAACAAGCAGAGGTCCCGGTTATGAGTGTACCTAGTTTTAAAGTTTGAATATGACACCTGGTATTCCTCCGCCAGGATGACCACCACCACGATACTGACGACTTCATTAGTCACGTGAAAATAACAAGAGTGCTTGTGAGGACGCTCAAACTATAGTGACGGGTTTTTGATACAAAATCCATCTGCCGACACAAACTGGCTGCACTCCACTCGCTCCTTGTTCTCAACATTCCAGTTAAGTTCGTGACAATTACTTGTACAATGATCATATGGAGCGTCGGAGAATACTGGTGAATAGCACGCGAACGTTTCCGATACCGCGATGTTGTGGGACACCAGAATTACAGTTCTTATTGATTAGCACTGAGGTCAGTGGCTGCCGTCACCTGCTGTCACGTCACCTGAAACCTTGTGCATCTGAGGTGGACCTATCGCGCACAATAAAACTGCTTCACAATCTCAAGATGATACAGAGAAGTAGAAATACTTATTTGCAACGAACGGACGACAGGTGGAGTTGAACTAGATCGATAGCTACAGTGAACACTGAGTGCATTCATCCGGAAGAAGAAGAACAAACTATTCATCCACACTCTACTTTTTTGTGGCATCAACTGACCAAAGGAAGTGAGTGCTCCGCTAATCATTTTGGGGAATCATTAGACGATGAGCGAGTAAAATATGCAGGAAGTTTTTGAAGAAAAAACAGGTTCGGGTTACGAACGATACACTCATTTGCACGCCAAGTTGGTTTTCACGGGAGACTCACGTGAATCTGGACTGAATCTCTCGTTTATGATGTTCTCTAAGTGAATATACTGCACTAAAGCTGTCTAATCGTTCAGATGTAGCACCTTTACGGCGCCTAACTGCCATGCTACCCGAAGGAAGTACGAAGGCTGGGATTCTGCCAGGCTGCCCAAGCCTAGACAGGGGAAGTTGAGAGGCAGAGGTCGGGTTCGAACCACGGACCTTCCGGTCAGTAAATTCGCGCTCTAACCACTTGGGCCACTTCGTCCAACGTTTCACTTGGTACCATAATCAAGATATAGCAGAGTACTTGTGGAAATTCATGCAATTTGGGTTCAAGTAGAAAATAAGGTTGACGGAAACTCGGAAGCCGTGCCTACCTGACGAGCCTCAAGGAGAACGAAACCTGTAGTGGCCTGTCGAAGAGTCTTCACCAACCTTGTGAGTAGTTTCCCTCATGAAAATATACTGAAGTATCTCAAATATCGTAGGAAATAAAACATGCAGTGGCCATTGCGCAGCTAATTCAGTTGGAGAATATCACGAGATTCAAGAGAATTCTGTTTGGTCTCCCATCATAAACTAAATTCTTATGCAAATGAGTGTATCTGTTAAACTCTGTCCGATTTGGGTTCATGTGGAAAATGAGGTTCGTGGAAACTCGAGGACTGTGCCTTGTGACTAGGTTCAGGTAGGTTTAGCTCCGCAAAATCACACAACGATAAATTCCTGATTGGTGTATTTGTACGCATGATATATGGCACAGGAAATGCAAAACATATGTTAGAGGGAAGGCAGTTCTTCAGTTTTTATGAACACGACCATACGAAGACACAAAAGTTTCTAAACCCCATGTAAGGCGGATGCATTGAAACGATCGACCATTGCTAATTTGATACAAGAAACGGCATCGTTGAATATATCAGTGGCGGAGTTGATGACAAAGATATGACCAGCAAATGCGAAATACTTCTATCCAAAGAAGGCTAAGGAACAAGTTAACCTCGTCATTTAGCATTCCGAGCCACCAACTTTCTTTTACTAAGCTATGGTCGCGTCTTAAGTAACGTAGTGGAGTTCAGACCAAGAGGCAACAAACTTCAAAAAAGTGTTTTTTTTTAAGAGGCAACAACTTCAAAAAAGTGTTTTTTTTAATCGTAAAATCGACTAGAATAAAGTTCCACTTGCTTTTCTTCAGTCAATTTAAAATAACATCCATACCAATGAGGTTTCTTCATTGTTACACAGGAAATAGTACAGCATCATCATTATCGACAGTGGCGGAATACCTGAATCTGCGATGACGTTCAACTTGCTTATCAACTGCCGGGCTCTGTTGAACATCAAGGTCAGGTAGTTACACTTTGAAGACTGGATGCGCCGTCAACAAATTGCTAACTTTTCATAACGACTATTCAATATCCTAAGGAACAGGGCGAAACCGTCGTCCATCTGTTCTCCTGTTTCTACCTTTCTACTCAAATGGACAACTGGGAGCAGGTGACGCAGAAAAGGAGCTTGATCAGAAACTCATCTTATGAAAACTGCATGGATCATGACCACCGACATCAGCTATAGCCTTATCAATGGACTACTGGGGGGCCAAAATATTTTTGGCCCCAATAGGTTTATTGTGAGTGAAACAAGATCTTATTCACTGCAAGACCATGCGGATGCACCGAAGGATGAACAAGAATAGACGGTTAACCTGCATCGGCTTTCTTGCCACCGATCCACAATTTTTGAAAGGTCACACTCTATGCCCCAACAATTTGTAGATCCGAAGAATGTTATCCCGTTTTAACTGACCCCAAAAGTGAGTGGCAGAGGAATTGCTTAGTCAATCCTTTGAATATACATTCGCAAAACAAAAAATCGTGGGTCTGGGAACACAAGCGGCTTTGTCTAATTACACTGAAACTACAGTATGTTGTCAGTAGTCTATCTCCAAGAGAGACCAATTAAAACCATCTCATTCCGGTGTCGTGAGATTTGACGTGGAATTTATATGTTTTGAGTGACCACCTTGCGGTGATGCTGGTATCCATTATAATGATCGCGGAAAAAGGATTTGATCCACGGACTGGTTCCCACTTGACTTGCACAGTGTGCAATCCTACTGGCCTTATCAAAGCCCATATCGGGCCCCAAAGGAATTAGCACCGACAACGGGGAGCATGGTTGCACACATCAAGATGCTTATGGACAAATGAATGTAGCGGGGGAAACGAACAAGTCGGTTACAAATACACGGGCTTAGAACAGACTTAAAATACACATTTAACACTGACGATTCAAAGATCTATTACAGCATGCCAGGACACACATGAAGTGTCTTGCGGGACAATGCAACTACACCCATCCTGAAGTTGTGCGTAAAACTCAACGCGATGTTTTGGTAAACGAAGCTGGCTTCCAGTTAGTTACGAATGTCCATGATAGTAAACCTATGGTAGCCGCTCTGGGTGAGACCGCCTCCCCATCAATCAAGCACTTCACTTTGGGCCCATGAAATTAGGCTCTAAATTGATACCTCGGGCAGATATCAGTTCAACTGTCCTCGGAGCGCGACCAAAAACCCCAAACAAAGATCGATTAACAAAGTTCCCTTCTGAAGATCTTTCCGCTAAAAAAGAACAGAAGTTTATCGAGAGAAGGCTTCAAGGGACGGACTGGAAGAAATCTCCTCTGGGAGAGTTCACTATTGAGATACGTTCCCTAAGACGAACAATGCTTCTTATGGCTGGTCTCCCCTGAACGTGGGTTCTTCAGAAGTGGACACAAACTTTTACGACCGCGAATTCAACGTCTACAGATCTGTGTAAAATAATCTTGTAGAATGTTGTCTGGTGACACTACACCATGCAAATCAGTTGCACGGCCTGTCAAACATCGAATACACTTGTGAAAACTCAACACAACTTTAAACAGTCCAGATACTAGATTTGGCTCTCACTAGACAGAGCGCCCAAAGCCAGTTAAGAACATCAAAAATGGACTCGTGTACAAGTCCGGATCCAAACGAGAGTCTTTGCTGAAATTCAACTAGGGATTTGTAAAATAGCGAATTTTACCCACTTTTACGACCAACCAACCTTCGTGGACGATAAGAAAAGGTCGGTTGTATGACAGTTTATACGAGGGGTCGCAAAGTCATAGGCATTAATCTCATTGTATTATTATCAAGCGTTGAAATACGCATCTTTTATTTTCTATACGGTCGACAAAGCACGTCATATTTCCATAACTAAGACCAACTGAACCATTTCCCTTGATTGACTTTATACTTACTGAACACCACGGTCTTGCAGTGTACCCGAAATACGCAGTCTCTGCTGTCCTTAGGATCCAAACAATGAGTTCAACAACAAATCGCGCCACAGCGCAAATAATTATACCCACGCTGGGATAACCTGTGCATAATAAATAAATTCCCTGTGTTGCTAAGGATGCACAATAAAAAATCTCCAGAACAACCAAAAGCCTAAAAATCAAGTTCGGATTTCGATAATCACTTACTGTCACTGGGTCATCATCATCAGCGACAGCAAAATCAGTGTTGACACCGATGATTCAATGTCGTACAACCTTAAAGTTCATCTAATTGTGTTCAAAACCTCATGGTGAAAAGAACAGAATAATATTTGGTGAGGAATGGAACCTGGTGCTGGCCTATCACAAGTATTTTAAGGTGCCTATACCTCCAAACGCTCAATCAAACAATGTGGAAACTGACAGCATGAACCCACTGACATCGATCAGCCGCCATTTCTTGCAATGTCTCCAGCGAAGCGCAGGCGGAGACCTAATCCTGGAAGGCGTAAAACACCACCAACACCCAAACTCTTCGTGATATCTTTCACATCCCTCTACCATAAGTAGGTGAAAGAAATCAAAGCCCATTACATTTCATAAGCTTAAGCACGAAGTTTAAGTTGCTCTCTAGGATTGGACGGAGTATGTATTCATAAAATGTTTTTATGTGGCTAAAGTTAATCAGAAAGACCGACCTGAGAAATGGAGTGTCCTCCATTGGGTATCGAAACAATATGTCCGCACGCATTCCATCCATAACGATGAAGATCAGATGTGTTGCTGGCGGTGTGATATTCATGGGGATTGGTCCAGACCCATGAACCAAAGGCGACGTGTAGTAAGCAGGAAAAATGGAGTAGGTCAAAATCAAATAAAGCCCCACTACCACAGAAAGCTTCAGAATGTACCAGAGAGCACGGCACATTTTATGACACCAGTAGTGATAGCAACAACAGGAGAACAGAGGGCTGTCTTGGTAACCCGAAATGCTACAATTGGAAGGGAAAGTTATTCACCCAGATATGGTTCGTTGGAAAACACATAAAATGAATGTTTTTCTTCCGATACCAAAGTGAATAGCCCATCCTTTCGAGATGGCAAACATCGTACGGGGTTGATATATGGCGAGAAATATGTCCAGTGAGTGAAGTCAAACTGAAAAGTTACTAAGCAAACAACCTGAGGATTAATGAATTGCGAAGTCAATTTATGAATTACTCCACCTTCATGCCCCGTTGTTAAGTCAGGTGGGAGACATAACAGAAAGTCTTAGCTGCTCCGGTGCATGTCATCTGCATGGTTCAGAAATCATGTTGTAGATGATGAACACCATGGACGCCTCACGCTTTCGATGGGCCCATCGTACCTTGTTTTACTCTTAATCACCAACCAGTCATAGTTCCATACATTTTATACCTACACTATCTACTCAAACAAGCGATCAGAAACACCGATCGTTAGTACGCGTTTTACGGTTGTCAATATGGAATGAACAGCAGCTAAGCATCAATGTTGAACACTGCCTCACCAGCTGGCGCAACCCGTGTCCAGCAGCGCAGTCCGGGCTGAGCCCCGAGTGGAGCAGCCGACAGGGTTTCCTAATTACATCCGAGATCAAAGGTTTTAGAGTAACCTCCGGGCTCAAATCACTCGTTCAGATGAACACGATCTGCTTATTTGTTGGCTTTGTCGTTCAGTGAAAACCTTACCCAAAGACCCAACTTAAACACGAGGGTCTGTCAGGACACTATTACCACTGTGTTGCACGGGCGTGATTTCGCTTTCGCTGTAAAGCGTTGCTACGGCATTCAAACCCGTTTTTATATTTCTCATTCCCCGTGCTTAGGCCAAGATTCAGCTTGGCACACTCAGTAACGACTATATCCTTTCCTTCCAATATCCTAAAAAGGATGACTGATTGATTGTTCGAGGTGCGGATTTCAGCAATACAATTTACAACGGGGGGAAAATCCAGTTGTACAGGCAGAAGCGATGCAAATGAGCGATGTCCGAAGAATTAGGTGCAGCCACCGGGTGCGGAATAGGATGGATTGTTCTGATGTGAAAGATCGAATCACCACATGAGGAGCCTGTTTGAGACTACTCTAACATTACTCGTGTGTAAGCTGCTTCTTCCACGGACACCATCGTTTAGGAAACCAGAGAGCGAGACAAGAACCGGACACCCGTGACTAAGAAATTTCAGTGTTTACATAGATGGTAAGTATGGGGCCTTTTTAACTTCATACGAGAGGAATTCACGCCATTTTTGGTATCCATGCGATACGGAACCAGATTATTCAGCAGAAAAACACGTTGGTGGTTGCACTACACACTTCTGTCTGTACCAGTACTTGTAGAGTAACACTGCAAGAATTCAGTGTATCAGTCCTGGCGAGCAATAGTTGAAGGAAAAGACCCTTTCAGAACATTATTTGTGACATCTCTGATCCGGCCACGGAAAGCCAAGATTCAGTCGCGCTTTTTTGAAAGAAGTGATATAGGACTTGGCCAGGCCGTTTCGTGGCCGCTTTCGACGTGCCCCTACGTCTGTGGTCATGACAAACGCAAGGAAGAAAGCTGATTAGGACCAGTCGGTTAAATAGGCACTTCATGCAAACGATTTGAAAAAGGCGTTTATCATCACTTGGTTCGAAAAAGTTTCTTCCGATTCACACGGAATCTCTTTGAGGATGTCAGTATATCCAAAAGACCAGTTGGTTGTTGGATTACTGTTAAAGTAGTTCTTGGAAGTTCAGATTTGACTTTTACGCTTATTCCAGCCATTTAGATTTTTTGCAACAGATTTCGCGCAGTTGAGGGAGACTCCCAAACCAAAGCTCAAGCTAATATCCGTGCTTGTACAGCTTAGGTTCCAGCCACTATCAATACTACGTCTACTCCGATACTCTGTCCGCAGCTAGACGGCAGTAGGATTAGCATAGCGGATTTTAACCGTGGCTCAGATAAGTGACACCACTCCGGGTCGCAATTCTAACTCATTGCGGCCATTTTGTCAGATGCTTACGACAGTAAACTGATATCTGATGCTGCTATTTTTAATTCAACTTTGCTTTCTCCAAAAGCTTCTGTTACAAGATTGTGCCTACGGAGTCCGTGACAATGCGTTAATTTTCTGTGGGCAATCAGTTCTGGCTCTGTTCATATTTCAGACGACATCCTTGAGGATCTTCCTTAGAAAACTTGCAAGTCGATGAAGATGCTGCCAAACGCTCGTCAATGGACTATGGCCTGGCGAGTAACTAAGTGAAGTTTGACCGCCAGGTTTTGGTGGGGAGTCTGGAAATGGGCGCCTCATTTTTGAGGTCCATCCTCTTGCAATCGTTCCAAGAACAGTTGGAAAAGACTCGGGCTTTCGGATTTTTGATGCTATTCGATACTCGTCTCACCATGAAATAGTATCCTAAACGCAGAATATCCCGACCATAGATGCTTTTGGGTTCCGCGCTGCGATTTTCTTCTTTGGACAGACCGTAGAAAGCCACAACTTGTGGTTTGAGGTAGGTTGACGGAGAGTAGAACACTCAAGTTAAATTCTCGACGACAAATACAATAGCCAAAATTTCCGTCTACATCTGGCTGTAACCCCGTCCAGCTGTTGACGAGAATCTGGTGAAAATCATCACTTTTCTGGGAGAATACTTACAGGGTCTTCATGAGGATTTCGTAATTTCACGTGCCCACGACGATGTTCAGTAAACGATTATTGTGGGCAAGAGGCAAGTGTGTGCTGCAGCGATCACTCACTAGATTGCTTGTTCCGCAAACACAAATCATATGACGAAGTCCTGCCCCGTCTGTGGATTACGCGCATATCAAATCCTCTTAAGTATAAAAAGACACAAGACAGTCACCATGCACGTCAGACTCTCGGGGAGCGGAACGACCACAGCATGCAGTCCACGGACAAATCAGGAAGAATTGGTAGCAGTCGAAAACTGCACAGAAAACTCCATACCTGAGTCCGGACAAAAAGTGAGGAACAACAACAACTTATGCTAGTTCATTCTGACATTGTATTTTGTTTATTAAGATGCATTAACTTTTAATCATTAAAAAAATTTGTAAGTGCTTTCCACCTGATAATCGAGTTAATTCCGTCGCAAATAGGGTATTAACAGTATCAGACATGGGTTTGTTGGTACAAAAGAGGGGTTGGTATTCTGGTCATTGTATCTACATCTGGCTCCTGGTGAGTAGGCTTGGCAGCGACGGGATACTAACAGAATCGAGTTGTAGTGCTGGATTGGATCTAGAAATGGTCCATGGGTCATCATGTTTATGGACGCACAGACTTTATTGCCGACGTCCACTGGCAATGGTTGGCAAACATGTTTCTCAACTATGACGTTGAAAGGCTCCAGCTACGTGGACTGATTGCACTGTTTTCTGCCCATTAAAAAAACACTCAGCTGTAGCACCCTTTCGGTGCCTAGCTGTCACGCTACCCGAAGGAAACACGAGGGCTGGGATACTGCCAGGTTTCCCAAGCTTAGACAGGAGATGCGAGAGGCAGCTGTCGGGTTCCATCCACGGACCTTCACGCCCTAATCACCTGAGTTATCTCGCCCCATAGCGTCAGAGAAGGAAAGTGACATTAAGCGCAGGTGTATTTTGATGCGGGTAAATCAACATGGATTTAAAGATAGATAATCGTAACACCCTTTCGGTGCCCAGCTGCTATGCCACCCACAGGAAGCACGGGGGCTGGGATACAGCCAGGTTGCCAAAGCCCAGACAGGGGAAGTCAATAAGCAGAAAATGGGTTCGAAAGACGGACATTCCGGTGAGTAAATTCGCGCAAGAGCCGAGTCATCTGGCCTATCGACATGAATAACCAAACTCAAGTGTTATGGAACCAGCGGCCTCTAAGTGACGAAGCGTCACTTAACAGTAAATATCGACGGTAAGTCGAGGAACCGAAAGCCGTCAGTCAAATAAGTGACGCATCAAAACCCAGTCATACTTTTCATTCGATTTCGAGGGATTTGCAGATTCGTAGGTTGATACACAGGATCGAGGCTCTCAAAAGCGCCTTCCGGATACTCCAGCAGATCCCACTCGCCTAAAAGGCACACATGAAAACGCGCGTAACAGCGCAGCTAGACTTCACATCACTGGGTAGTATGCTTGCTGTGCGAATTCTTACGTAAAAAAGCGTCTAAAAGCGATTTCAGCTGGATTGTGGATGCAGTGTGATCAATTGTCGAAGGAAGATTATTCCACGCACCAACTACCCGGAAGGACAAAAATGATGTATAGTGAAGTCAGGCGCTCCCATCTGCAAAATCTTATCATGCTGCCACCGTATATAAGTTAGGTCATAAGTGGTAAACCTATCAGTCAAAACGTTTCTGAACAAGGCACTAATATCATATTCCACCAGGGGCCATTATTGCTTCATGGTCAAAGGATCTAAGACCGACAGCCGCAGGCCGGTGGACAAGGCCAATGAGAGTTGCGTCGTTCCTGCATAGTGACTGCAAAGCCAGTTCATCATCATCATCACAATAACATCCAATTGGATGCAGGAGCACCATTGAGGGCGCGACTGTGCCACGTCTGACAATGTCTCCAACCATTGATGTGGCCGGTTTCGGGGTCCCCATCCAGGGTGACGGCGATAACCAGCGCGGCTGAGTACGCCGGCCATGGTGAAAACTGGTTAGTGGATTCAAAAAGCGCGCGCTTCCTGGCTTGTGCAAAACTAACTAATCAGAATGCTGGCTTGTGCATGAATTGCATGCCGGTTATCACAGCATTTACACAGGGTTACGCTAACATCTCCATTGACGGGTGAGAAGCGCCGAGCTATAGAAGGTCGATCTAGGTTCACGGATTCACGGATTGATACACTGGATCGAGGCTTTTGCCCAAGGTTCCCGGGTCGGTTTTGTTCTTGTCGGTCGGTGGCTGTCGTTCACCTGAAAGGCACAAGTAAAAAAAGGGTGTAGCACTGCTCTTTATGTTCTCAGCGGGGGAAGTATGCTTGCCAGCGCGGGGATTCGCATAAATAAATGTCTAATAGTGCTTTAAATTGGGTTCGAGAAGGAGCGTGTACAACCGTCGAAGGAAGGTCATTCCACGCAGCTACTACCCGAAATGAAAAAAAAGTTTTGTCTAATGAATGTGTGCCCTGAGCTTGAAAATTTTCTTACTGTCCCCGCCGGGTGTTTGCTGGGTCAACGGTAAAAAATCTGCTCACCAAGCTTTGTTCAAACAGGGCGTAAGTAAGAATTAGGTGCCCTCAGAGGCGACGGTACTCTAGGGAGAAGAGATCAAGCATCGCGAGACGCGTTTCGTAGTCCACGGATTTGAGGCCGGTATCCATTCTCGTGGCGGCACACTGGACGCACTCAGTGAGGGTGACGTCCTTCTTACGTCTTGAGTAGACAACTTGGTTGGCGTACTCCAGGAGCGGTCTGACGTTATGTTGACTGATATTCTGACTAATCAAGGTAGATACGGGGTTGCGGATTCACGGATCGATACTCAGAATCGAGGCTTTTGCTCAAGTTTCCCGGCTGAGTTTTGTTCTTATCTTTCAGAGGCTGCCGTTTGCCTGGATGGCACAAGTGAAAAAAGGGTTCTGTTCCTTAAGTTCTGGGCGCAGGATATTAAGCATGCCGGCACGGGGACTCACATAAAAAGTGTATAATAGTGTTTTGAACTGATTCCTAAATGGAGCATGAAAAGCCACTGCAGGGAGGTTATTCCACGCTACAAATACCCTAACTGAGGAAAGCTTTTGCCAAATGAATGTGTGCACTCTGAGTTTGAGAATGTTCCTACCATTTTCCCGCCGCGTGTTTCCTGGGTCAACAGTAAAAACACCTGGACAAGCCTTGTTCAAACAGGGCATAAGTATGAATCAGGTCCCCTCGAAGGCGACGGTACTCCATGGGAATAAGGTCAAGCACCGTGAGACGCGTTTCTTAGTTCACGGCTTTGAGGCCGGCAACCGTTTTCGTGGCGGATTGCTGGACACGCGCAATGTTGGTGACGTCCTGAGTAGACAACTCGGTTGGCGTTTCAAAGGAACGGTCAGAGTGCCTTGAAGTCCTTGTGAGTAATACGGGGTAAGGAGCGCAGGATCATCCGTAAAATGACGAGTGCTTTTTGGGCTGACTTCCCATGGTGCAGTGAGAAGGAGGAGGATTCCCAGATACCCAGATCCTTCTTGCCGTCTATCCTCATAGCGTTTTCTGGTCCTTTCCCGACATTCATGACGAAGGCATTCGCTGGATCTCCTCTATATGACATACGGATGCGCTTTTCTTGATTCAGAGGAACGTGCCAGTCCAAAGACCACTGCTTTGCAGTATATACATCCATTTTGGTGGCAGCGGCATTGAAACTCCAGGATTTCAAGTCGTCCGCAAGAAGTAGACATGGACTCGCAAGAACATCTGGGAGGTCGTTGACGTAGATCAGAAACAGCACTGGACGGAGCCCTGAGGATCTCCAATGGACACCAGCACTGGAGAAGAGTAAGCCGAGCCTATTCTCACTCGGAATGTTCTGCCTGCTAGGAGCGCCTTGATCCAGTGAAGGATTTTCTCTTAAACCCCGTAAGACTCGAGTTTTTGAAGCAGCGAAACGTGTGGGACCCTATCAAATGCTTTCGTGAAATCAAAAAATGTGGCATTCGATATGAGTCCTTCGTTCTTGGCTTGGATTAAGCTGTCTATAAACACGAGCATGTTTGTCACGCAAGAGCGGTTTGGGAGAAATCCGTGTTGAGCTGGAGATACCAGGTTGCTAGAAGCAAGGTGATCTATGATAGCTCACTCCAGAATGCGTTCCTTAACCTTGCACGGCACGCTTGTGAGGCCTATAGGCCTGTAGCTGCCAGGCGATAGTCGGTCACCAGTTTTGTGCTGTGGCGCGACAATCACTTCCTTCCACACATAGGGAAGGTGGACTTCGCCAAGCGACTGACGAAACAGCCGGTATAAAATTACTTGCCAGTTTTGACGACGTTTTATTAGGGATCCTTAGGTGAACCTTTCTGGGCCCCAAGGGGCAGAATAGGTTGATGATGGGCGCTGATGTAAGCTAGCACCGTTTGATTTAATGAAGTTCATGCTGCCAATAAGAGGAAGTTGCTTCTGTTTCTTGCTCACATTGGCTTACCGCTCAAATACTGTCGAGGTAACCACCTCTCTATTCATGGAACCTCCTGGCATGTTTACCTTGGTTTCACAGCCTTGATTTTCGTTGCCAGATATTAACGGGCCAATCGCCTGCCATACGTGTGTAAGCGTGAGCGTGAAAACACCTAATTACGGCGGAGGGCCAGCCCATAATGTGGACATCAGAGAAGAGCTTTCTTGACCCAGTGCAGTGTACAGTGAGAATAATGACTAATGTATATGTTTTGGTTGACCACGGAGAATGATAAACTTGTTAGCGCATACAAAGCGCGAACATCCAGTAAGGAAGCAATGTTGCTTTTGGAAATTTCTCTAAGGGTACGTAGAGCTATCAGCGCTAATTTCCTTAGCGGGCAGGTAAAACGCATCAGTGAACTCCATACTCAACTCCCAAGCTGGATTGGGTCAGATTTGCGAATACATTTGGGCAAGCCTACCAAAAAATCAATCGCAAGCGTCAACCTAGACATCGAATAATGCCGCAGAAGCCTTTTTGCTCCTGAAAGTGTGGAAATGCCAGTCTGAGTTCCACCTGACTGGGAGGTCGTTGACGTAGATCAGAAACAGCACTGGTCCCAGGACGGCGCCTTGAGGAACTCAAATAGAGACCGACGCTGGAGAAGAGTAGGTGGAGCCTATTCTCAGTCGGAATGAGTTA